ACCAATCTTAGTAGAATGAACGGTGAAACAAAGAGAAGGCAGTCATAATAATCAATAAGTACTCCACAGAAATACAAAGAAACACCAACTAAGGATCACATAGTTTCCAATTCAATCTTCCCATCTTTTTAGGTTAATAATCTTTAGTGCCAAAGCCACAACTCACAATGCCACCGTATTTTTACACGGAGTCCGGTCTCGGCCCGACCGGCTAAGCCATCTCAAGTGAGACATATCCATATCTACATTGTAAATCAATGATTCCAACACAAATGCCACCATGTGTACAGCATGGCATCCGATCTCAGCCCGATCGGCTAAGCCATCTCACTTTAGACATAACCTTTTCAATTGTTCACTCAATTCACATCTCTTTCCCATCTTTCGTTACATGGCACAAACAGCCTCATTTATTAAGTAGTTCTTGGCACTTGGGAACATTTTACAATTCAAGTCTTTCCCTTTGTATTCGTTCAAATAACATCATCACTCATGTTGATAAGTACCATCACATAAGGCATTTCACACATAAGGGAGGAGCTTGGAAAATCATGATTTCGTTCTCAAATAGCATGATGACATGGTAACCATCTAAAACAATTAGGGAACATGAATCTTTCAATCCAACACACTAAGGCAAACAATTCTAGTATGATCAAGTTGGAACTTACACCAATTATTCGGACACCAGGAGTTCGATTCTAAGAAGAAAAGAGTTAGCCTCGAGAAAGTGCTTTTAATAAGCACTTTTTTCTTGTCGCCTTTTGACAAGTACCGTTTCTGCCAGCCTACTAATCTTTTTTCAACCCTTTCGATCACTGGATTCCAAACTGTAGTATCCTTATGCGAAGTGCCCAATGGGAGATCCATGCAAGTAGTGGGAAGAGAGCCCACCTTACATCTGAGAACATAAGACAAAGCATCAATGTTAGCAACCTCGCCCACCGGGAAAATCTCACACTTGCCGAGGTTGATTTTGAGTCCTGATACTATCTGAAACCACTGCAAGACCTGCTTCAGGTAGGTCAACTGATCCATATCGGCATCACAGAAAACTAGGGTGTCATCCGCAAATAGCAAATGAGAGACTCTTCGGGCACTGAGCACCCCGATCGGAGCTGCGAATCCTCTCAAGAAGCCTCCGCCCGCCGTACGATCCATCATTTTTCTCAGAGCATCCATCACTAGAATGAATAGCATGGGGGATAGGGGGTCACCTTGCCTGAGACCCCTGGAGCTGCCAAAGTAACCACACGTACTACCATTAACCAGGACAGAGAATCTGACTGAGGAAATGCAAAACTTGATCCATCCCCTCCATTTTACCCCAAACCCCATCCGCATCATAATGAAATTCATGAACTCCCAAATTACATGGTCGAAAGCCTTCTGAAGGTCCACCAAATTACGGGTTCTCTATTTTTCCTTCTGGAGTCTACAAGTTCATTTGCCATCAAAGCAGCGTCCAGGATTTGCCTACCTTCCACAAACGCATTCTGGGAGGACGAAACAGACACGTCAAGAATCTTCTTGAGTCTATTGGTGAGCACTTTAGAAATGATCTTGTAAATGCTCCCCACGAGACTAATAGGCCTATAGTCTCTGATGCAAAGATGCACCTTCTTTCTTAGGCACAATAGTAATAAAAGAAGCATTGATACTTCTCTCGAAAGCACGATTCGCGTGGAAGTATCCAATGGCTTCCATCAACTCTCCCTTAATGGTATCCCAACAGAGCTAGAAGAAGGCCAAGGAGAAACCATCAGGCCCTGGGGCCTTATCACCAGCACAACTCGTCACAGCCTCGTGCACCTCCTCCTCCACGAAAGCCCTTTCTAGCCACTCACTGTCTCCCTCCCCTATGTGGTTGAACTCTATTCCCTCCAAAGTAGGTCTCCAACTAACTTCCTCTTTGTATAAATTCTCATAAAACCCCACTATCGCCCCTTTTACCTCTTTCTCTCCCTCAATCCTCACCCCATCCACAACTAAGGACTCTATGAAGTTTCTTCTTCGATTTGCAACCGCAACTCTGTGGAAAAACTTGGTATTCGAATCCCCCTCCTTTAACCAGAGCGCCCTCGATTTTTGCCGCCAACTAGTCTCCTGAGCTATTGCTAACTCGACTATTTCCTTCTTAACCTACCCCAATCTCGCTTTCTCAGATTCGTCTAGCTCTCTCGCCCCTTCCCCTCGCTCTAATTCCCCCAATTCATGCATGAGCTCCCTCATTTTAACCTCTACCCTCCCGAAAACCTCCTTATTCCATCTAATAATATCTCCCGTGAGCAATTTAAATTTCTTCGAAAGACGGAATGAAGGTGTCCCTGATACCCCGTAGCTTGTCCACCATTCTTTCACTTTGTCACCAAATCCTGGCACTTTCAACCACATGTTCTCGAATCGGAAAGGAGCACGCACCCCTCTCCCTCAGCATCCATCTAGCAAGATAGGCAAATGATCCGAAGTCAGCCTAGGTAAAGGAATCTGCAGCACATTCGTCACTAGCTCATCATAGGAGGGCGATATCAGAAATCTATCAAATCTAGACCTTCAGTTAGAATCCTCCGCCCTGGCCCAAGTAAACCTTTCCCCTGAGTGAGGAAGATCAATGAGAAAGTGATCATTGATGAAGTCAGAAAACTCCTCCATGGCCCTCGAAATCAGAATACACCCTAATCTCTCCTCCGGGAATCTAATAGTGTTAAAATCTCCCCCTAGAACCCATGGAACGTCCCATTCCCCCATAACATTGGCCAGTTCCTCCCAGAAAGACACCTTGGACCCTTCTCCTACCGGTCCGTACACTCCCCCAAATCCCCACTCTGCCTCACTCACTCTATCTTTGACAAGAGTTGCTAAAGAAAAGACTCCCTTCTTAATCTCATTTACCTCCAAGCTTTTATCATCCCACATAAGAAGAATGCCCCCGGCACTTCTCGCTGCTGGGACCCAGTCATATTTTACCCAACTACCTCCCCAGACACTCCTCACAATCACATCCGACAAAAATTCCATTTTGGTCTCCTGAAAATAAACTAGGTTGGCACCCCACTCTCTAACTCCCACTTTGATGATGGCCCTTTAGTTAGGGTCATTCATCCCCCTCACATTCCATGAAAGAATCTTAACTTCCATAAGTAACAATATCTCCCTTTTTCCCACCACCCCTAGCCGAGCTCCCTTCCTCCCTGTCACGCACCCGGACCCTTCTCTGGTACACTACTACATCCCCTAAATTATTTTGCTTATCACCTTAACCCAACTCCCTCCCTGCACCATCATAAAAAGACTGTTGCTCAATCTCCCTCAACAGTTCTAACACCCTATCTTCCTTCCCTTCAAAAGAAACACCTAAAAACTTCCCAAAGTTTAATAGTTTATCCTCCATCCAGAAGGACATATCCCCTCCTCCAATCCGTAGCGAAATTGGACAGGCGTCTTCTATATGTACCCTTTCCTTGCTCCTACCGGAGGAATACAAGACCATAGCATTGCTAGCAATAGGAACTTTAGGTGCCGAAAGGATTTTGCCATTTCCTTGAGAGGTACCAACCTCTGAAATTAACATCCACCTGCTATCAGAGGCGGATGCAGTGTGGTGGTTATGGGTTCAATTGAACCCATAACTTACGACGCTGAGTAGAAATTTATGTGTAAAAATTCATTAAAATTGCAAAAATAATAGATTTGAACCCATAACTTTAAAAATATAATGGGTTCAATGTTAAAAATCTTAAAAGTTGAACCCATAGAGTTTAAATCCTGGATCCGCCTCTGGCTGCAATAGGAATGGCCAGAAACGCCAGCAGGGTAACAGGAAGGAAGAGAGCACGGAACCCTTGGCGGCATATTAACTGGAATTACTGTTCCGGCACTAACAACAATTGGGGCAGGCGCAACAATCTCCTCAGAAGAAGAAGGAGCTTGAAGTGTAACCTCAGCACAACTAAGCACAGGAGAAGATGAGGGAGCGATGGAGGTGGGTCCATCAAAAGCATCATTACATATTGGAAAAGCAAACAGCTATGCAGATATTGGAAAAAGAAAACATCAAAAGCATCATTACATAGAAGTAGGTCAGCTATTTAAACAATTAATTCAATAATAAGTAAAACGTGTGAAGATGGAGTAATTTGTCAGAAGATGCCATATTGAAGTTAAAAGTAATTTGAAGTGTATCAGTTTCTTTTACTTTAAACTTCTGGTACTGAGAAATTGTAGCATCGTATGAAACAGGTCAAGGAAGTGGGACTGATTAAGGAGGGTAGATTGATCAAGTAAACTATGGTCTTTATAGAGTATCAAAGATAGAAGCAAGCTCTTTTCAGATCCAAGACACAAATTTGAGTCAGGTTAATTTAATTATCATAAACTCACACTCTTTAGAGCACAGCAATATCCTGGCATTTATTGCATTCCATTTTTTCTCTAGGAAAGACTAACAAGCAACATGCTCACGTTGTAGTCCTGCTCCCCTCAGGTACCCGAATAAGAACCAAAAAGAAATAGAGATCCTGCAAGCATTTTTTTTCTTTTTCTTTTTTCCTAGAAGAGGTTTTTTAGCATTCATTCTGAAACCGTTGTGAGACATTATCAACCATAAACATTCTCAAAAGCATGACTCTGCTCTTACAAGTGTTTCTTCTTGTTTTGCGTGTGTAATGTTTGATCTTTAGAGAACCAAAGTGGTTCTGAATAATGCTTGACAGGGCTAGTTTGCGTTTCCAAAAAGCTGTATAATTTACTATCAATTTACAGAATTAAAGAATATTCTACGTTTATTTCATCCAATTCTCTTCAAGGGTAAATGCAACTCTTAATCTTCGACATTTGCATTCCATATTGTATATATCTGCAGTCTGAAGAAATGATCCTAGGACGCAGATTGAAGAAATTCTTAGCCAGCTCAAAGAAGCCAAGCAACAGAAAACAGTTGCTCAATTGTGCTTCTGCTATTTGTGAATACTGGATTGCTCTTGCCATTACAGCTCAGTGATAAACTCAGCTGGTATATAGCTAGAATTTTGCTAATCAAAAGCATTAGCTAAATTTCATGCATAATACTATTTCGCTTGAAAACTATCACAATTTTTCTTTATTAGCAATTAGGCACTACTAGAAATGTTCATGTGCTTTGAACTTATTTTGGTTCATGGATGTGGGAACAACTTTAGAACCAAAGAAGAGGACAATGCTGAAGTTCAATATGTCCACCGTCACACAGTGCGTCATGCTAAAAAGGAAGAAAGGAAAAGCACAATCATTTACAAGTTTGTATTACTGCTTCATGCTTAGTGCTATATCCCTGCGGCCAGTTTCAGTTACTCAAACAAACCAAAACACGTTCTAAAGGGTGCAATCTTCATCGATTCTATCCATTGAAACTACAAATTCCAATATATAGTAAACAATAAGCTTAAATTAAATATCACCTTAAGCAAAACATTGTGCTTCCTAATTTAGTTCCTTTCTTAAATGCGCATTTCCCCCTTTTTGCCACAACACTGAAACGTGAACAAAAGAGTAACTCGGACTTTAACCTTAACGTTCTAAAGCACAGACATAAATCCTTTCTAGCACAAAATAAAACAAACACACAAAAACCATCAAATTACACTAACACCTCACCCAAGAAAAGATAAAAAGGTATCTTAGTCATTACTCACTGTCAAATTTTTGTGGCACACTTTCCTTTTTAATATGCGGCAAAAATAATGACGCATTTCTATATTTAGAAACAATTCAACCTTAAGCTTCTCATTTTACGCTTAATGAGATAGTCTATGGCTTGTTTTTGATCACAATGTTTATGCCCAGTCGAACACTTCACAAAATGGGACAGAGGGAGTAAAAAAAGGGATCTTTACACAAATAGCCGGCTGGACTACCGTTTAATTTTTCTACCTAGTATACATAGATTACACGCTGATCATACACGTTTATACACATATTATACCTATACTATTACACATCTGCCGGCTATTTAGGTTAATTCTTCTAAAAATAATAACAACACTTACCTCTTCCCGGTATAAACAGGATCCCTCTTCCGGTATCGAATTTGGAATCCACCCCTGGATTATACCTCCGGATTAAATCAGCACTCACATTGGTCTCTGAAGTAATGGACGTTAAGTTATCCTCTACCCGTATAGGGTACGTCACAAACAGCCCATAATCTTTGGAAACATCTCTATCCCCACAGGAACAATTCACAACCACGTTTAAGGTAACATTAGTATCCGAAGTTGTCAAATCGGAATAACTCGTCGCAACCTGACCAAAAAAATCTGCAGATTTAACCTTGTACGGAAAAACATGGCCTAAGAACCCACCATCCAAACAATCACAACTAAAGGGTATGTTAATTCTTGTCGCTGCTATGATACTGTCATGATTTGGGATATGATTGTTGTTGTAATCTACGATTTCTTGTAAACTGGAGATTGAAAACAATTCTGCTATGTAAGTGAGATTTGTTCCCCGCCAAATATAGAACGAAGCTAAAGCTAAATCACACCCTTTGTTGCATTTCGACTCAACTGGTAAAGGAATTGAGGATAAGTAAACTAGGATTAGGATAATTCCTAAGCTTAACACACTTCTTGGTTTGGATTCAAACATGTTTCATGAAAAAACCATGAAAATTTCAGAAATGGGTATGTGAGAAATGGTACAAGAAAGTATTCGGGGAAATTTTAGCTGGGTTTTGAAGTAAGCGTTGACTAGGTGTTGATAAAGTTTAGATTAAAAAAAAATTGAATGATTGAATTGGTCTGTTAAATATTCCAGACTGTATTATACTACTACAGTACTTTATTTTCGGTTTGGTTTTAATATTTTGGGAATAACTATGAAACAGTATTGTCGTCAGCGCAGCTGTCAGGGAGTTAAAACGGGTTTTAGGAGACAGTCTTCTATGGCGGCGTTATGAAGCTTTTAATGTTGGGAATTCTCAACCGTTAGATTGATAGAAGTTTGAATCGAAGCCGTTGATGAAGAAGGTCATCAACTCCAATTTTAGTTTAACAAATGTCAAATTCTACTAGTATTATACTTAACCCCGTTTGGCCATACATTTTGTCAAGTTTTTTCCAAAACTTTTTTGGCAAAACCTATTTGTTTATAAATTTTATTCATATTTTAGCAGATTTTAAAAATAAATTTTTCAAATCCCAAAACTAGCTCTACACATATTTTTTGCCCAAAATATTACCTTCGAATTTTTAACAATTTTAAAAATTACCCCAAATTTTTGTATTTTATAAAAAAGCGCATCATCTATTATGACCCAACTAATCCACCGGCTAGTTACTATCATTTTTTTTTGGACTGATATTATTACAATTTAACGAATTATAGTAACTAGTGATTGTGTTATTAGTAGTTGATATTAAAATATCCGGTTATGGTTTTAGAATAGTGTATTATGTAGTTCATTATAAAAATGATGATTTTGTGCCAAACTTATCTATGTTCAGGACTATGGTGTGTGATAATGATAAATTGATAATGAATGGCATCAATGAAGGTTATGCATATACAAGCTTAGCAAGTTTGTTTGTTTGGTATTGTTGGGTATTTTTAATAGTTTTTAGAACTTATGGGTATAAGTCATGTCACGATCCCAAACTGATGGGCCGCGACAGGCATCCGGTACCTTACTCAACCGAGTACCAATGTAACATATCTTTCGTATCATACTATCATAGGTAATTGAGCCAGAGAGGCTGTCGTGGGATAAGTAGAATAATACATGAGGAAATACTCAATATAGGGTAAGCCAACTTGATATACCGACTTATACATATGACGTACTGGCCTATAAGGCCATACCAGTATCCGTATACATGGCATCTGTCTACAAGCCTCTAAGAGTACATAAATATCATAAAGGTAGGGACAGAGCCCCGCCATACCAAACAATACATATTCAAATCATACTGACCAAATAGGCAACTCCGGAGCAAGTGGAGTGCACAAACACCTTCTGTTGAGCTGATAGCCTATTAGGAGAACTCTCAACCTGTCTATCGGGACCTGCGGGCATGAAACGCAACGTCCTCAGGCAAAAGGGACGTCAGTACAAATAATGTACCAAGTATGTAAGGAATGAAAATCAGTAAATCATAGATATAAGAGAAACATGGAGTAAAAGACTCGATATGTAAGTATGAATAGATCTGTGAATCATTTAATATTATAATGTCGTGCATGTGCGTATAAATGTCATACCATGCATAGGTATATGCGTACATAACATCATCAAGCCTCTGAGGGCATCCCATCATATCATCTCAGCCACTGTGGGCAAAATCATCAACGTATACCAGCCGATCAGGTGGTGGTGCGTATATAACGCCATAACCTCTTTCCATATCCCATATACATATAATATATGCGTATATAACGCCTTCTGGTCATGGGTCAATGTACATGTATAAATGCATGAAATGCATAAGAAATACGTTAATAAGATTTCTCGAATATTATATAATCAATATGCCTTACGGACAAACTTTATCAAATACGTATTTTTCTGAGACCCATGAACAGAGGACATAATAATAATTCACATGGGGAATCAAGAATATAGACATCCCTAGTATTTCTATGAATAAGTCATTTATGAAAGTTGTGTATTTGCTCGTTTTGTTTGTATCGTACGGATCATGCCAAAAGGAAATGAGGGATTGCCTTAACATACCTTAACTCCGTTGATTCCTTAATACCTTCCAAGAAATTCTTCAAACAACTCAATTCAGTCTACCACATCATAAGGAGATTCAAAATCAGTGTTGAGTAAAGGCTAAGTCCGCAACTTAAACTAGTAGCTCGTTTACGTAAATTTGGGCAGCATCTCTCCAGTAACTAGGCCCTCCTCCAATACCATATACCAACAACAACAAGAACACAACAATAACAATATGTAAGCATCATTTTCCAACCTTATTTCCATCACAATATACCACAAAACAACCCACACACCCTAATCAATTCATATATAAAACGACAACCAAAGTAGTGTCAAACAACCTAAAAAATATAACGACGAATGGCCAGCCCACCATTTTATCATTATGTGGTGTTTCTCCACACCATTTATCCTCCAAAACTCCATTAAACAGCAGAAAAATATACATCCCAAAGGCAACACGAAACAGCCCATAAAACAGTCCACTACAAGTCAAATAACTCGAACTCACGGCTTTCGATCACCGTCTCGTGAGTTCTAACTATTAGGAAATGAATTTATCAACATTCCTTGATATTTAAACACCTAAATACAGAAAGTACATGTTTTCTTAACTATGAAGTACCTTCCAAAACTCAAACTACAAAGAAAAAGAGAGGCGATATAGCGATACTTACGTCGTGGGGATCGTTTTAATATTATCGCTTCTTGATTCCGTGCCCGGGATGATCATATTGTTTGAAGATCTTGTAGAGAGCTTAAGAGTAAAGTTAGGGGTGTTATTTGGGAGAGCTCTCTGGAAAAATAGAGAAAGAGACGAGATGGGATGTAAATATCCCATTTTTTAAAAGTAAAAAAAAATGCTACTTGGCACCCTATGATTGGCCCTTCTTCCAACGCTTATAACTTTTTATCCGGGTGTCGTATGAACGAACGGTTAAGTGAGTTGGAAACTAAATTTCAAGACCTTTAATTTTATATATAATATATCCCAAAAATACCTCATATATTACACTAAATATATTTCTCAAAAAGCTCTGTTACAGGGCAAATCCTTAGTCGATGTTTCCGCAACTTTAATCCGATTTTTTTCCAAACTTCATATTTTCTATCCAAACATCATATATAGCCATATTATGACTTTAAAATTATTTAAATCATGATTAACAAGTCTCATATTCATTATGTCACCTTGGGACGCACGGGATGTAACAATCTTCCCCCCTTAGAAACATTCGTCCTCGAATGTTACACTCTCAGAAATCTATAGAAATTTTGGCAGAGTCTCATCTGTAATGGTACTACTACCAAATTGCCACACATAAAACCCAATAATACAAAGCCACACAGGGCCACAATCATCAATAACACCAATGGCCTCACACGACCAATAACAGTAACTAACATAAGAATCAAGTACCATATACGTACCTAAAGGATTGATGTCTCAATCTGATCCTCCTCCGAAAGTGGAAACAAGTGAGGATAACTAGTCTTCATTTCTTCTTCAGCTTCCCATCTCCTCCACATTATTTTTAATCCAAAGTACTTTAACCGAATCTACATCATTAGTTCTTAATCTCCGGACTTGTCTATCTAGTATAGCAATGGGAGCTTCATCATATGATAATTGCTCTATAAACTGAACATCGTCAACTGGAATGACTTTAGAGTGATCTCCAATATATACCTACGAAGCATAGACACATAAAATACTGGATATACATACTCCAATTTGGAAGGCAGGTCTAACTCATATGCTACTTGGCCTACTCTGCGTATAATCTTATAAGGTCCAATGTACCGAGGGCTAAGCTTTACTTTCTTACCGAATCTCATAACTCCTTTCATCGGTGATACCTTTAGGAATACCCAGTCATCTACCTAAAACTCCAAGTCGTCGATTATCTGCATAGGACTTCTGACGACTCTGTGATGCTAATAGCCTTTCCCTTATAAGCTTAATCTTCTCAACTACCTATTGTACCAACTCTGGTCCTACTAACTTAGTTTCCCCAATCTCGAACCATCCTATAGGAGACCTACACTTTGGTCCATAAAGAGCTTCGTATGGAGCCATCTGAATGGTGGAATGATAACTATTATTATATGCAAACTCAATAGGTGGAAGATGATCATCCCAGCAACCCGTGAAGTCCATCACACAAGCCCGTAGCATATCCTCCAATGTCTGAATAGTACGTTCAACCTGACCGTCTGTATGGGGATGAAATGTTGTACTAAGACTTACCTGAGTCCCCAATCCTTTTTGGAAGGACCTCCAGAAATTAGCTGTAAGCACCTCTATCTGATATAATAGATATAGGGACACCATGAAGTCATGCTATCCTCTTAATGTAAATGCTTGCATAATCCTCTGATGAATACGTAGTCCTGACATACAGAAAATGGGCTGATTTTGTAAGTCTATCAACAATAACCCATATAGAATCGAACTTACGCTGGGTACAAGGTAGGCCTACGATGAAATCCTTATTAATCACCTCTCATTTCCAAGTCGGTATCTCTATAGCCTGCAATAATCTACCGGGTTTCTGATGCTCAATCTTAACCTGCTGACAATTAGGGCACTGAGCAACAAACACTGCTATATCCTTCTTCATTACGTCCCACCAGTATATTCCCCTGATATCATGACACATCTTAGTCGCTCCTGGATGAGTAGAATAACGAGAATGGTGAGCTTCTCCCATAACCTGCTGGCGCAACCCTGCCACATTAGGAACACATAATCAACCTCGATATTTGAGGACTCCATATCCTGTAATCTCAAATGGTGTATTCTCCTTTTGAGGGGATGTATCTCTGTAATGAACTAGCACAGGATCCTCATACTGGCGTTCCTTCACTTCAGTTACTAAAGAGGATGTTGTCACGTCCTGAATAGTAACTCTGGTATCACCTGAGTCCAGTAATCGATCTCCAAGACTAGCTAGCTGATAAATCTCATGGGCTATCCCACACTTCTTTGGCTGTAAATATGATAGGCTACCCATAGATCTACGGCTGAGGGCGTCGACTACTACATTCGCCTTCCCCGAATAGTATAAAATATCAACGCTATAGTCTTTTAGTAGCTCCAACCATCTCATTTGGCGTAAATTCAATTCTTTTTTATTGAAGATATATTGAAGGAT